GACTGCGAGGCCTGGGAAGGGTGGGCTTCCTCCCAGGCCAGGACTGTGGGGGAAACCTCTGCGGCAGCATCTTGTGTTTCTAACTTAGCTCTGAAGGGCTGAAGGGGAAGGGTACAACTTTCCCACTTAATCGGCCGCTTGATAGCCAAAGGGGGCTTTGGGGAGGGGAGAGATAGGTGGGGAGGGGGAAAGGAAAGGCCTCTGGTAAAAGTTTTTTTTTTTATATACAAACTGATTGCTTGCTTGTAGAACTTTCTCCTGGACTTTGCAAAACAAAGGGACGGGCACCGGAGAAGCCATCTAGAATACCCACTTTGGAGTTCCTAAAAACAAAACAAAAACACCGAAGAACACATGCGAGGGGGGAAGTGGACCAGAAGTAGCCTGGAAAAGGAGCAAGGACAATGTATGCAGGTTTTTCATAGATTGCCTGCTTTGAAAAAGACAGAACTGAGATGGGACTTAACCCTGCGAGCTAGTAAAATAGGAAAGGAAATTAAAGAGAGAGAGAGAGAAGCCTCCTCAGTTTTATTGCCTGCTTGATTATATAGAAACAAAAAACAAAAAAAAATCTGCATTAAAAATATTAATCCTGCATGCTGGACATGTATGGTAACTTCTATTTTGTACCATTTTCTTGTTTAAGAATTTCGCATGTCGTTGATCATCGACCATACTTTTTTTTTCCTGTTGTACTGTTGTTTGTTTCTTTGAATAAGAAACTGTCACAAATTCTATATAAAAAAAACCTTCTTTTTACTTGCACATGCAACTGCTTGTTCTATCTCTCTATTAGCTTTATTTTTCTTTTTTTTTTTAAAAAAAAAAAATATTTGGGAGCTCAATCCACTAGGCATGTCTCCTGTGCAAGTTTCACAGAAATCAATGAGGCTGCTGCGTAAGAGAACAGCTGGGGGTGGATTGGGCTCTGTGTTAGCTTGTAAATATCAGCCACACCACATAAAATCTGCACAGGGCGAAAACACAAGAACATTTCAGCAGGCTGGTTTTCAGTGATCATTTGTTGCAGAAATAATAACCTACAAAAAATTTCTGAGCATTTTGCATTCAGAAAACATCCTTGTATATTCGGTGCACTTTTAAAAGCTGTAGGTTCTTTTTGTTCATTTAGTTTTCATTTTGGTTTTTGTTGGGGCAGAAAGAGTTTTTGCCTTGCCTCTTTTAATTCCCCAATCTTAATTAAATTACTTGGAGGTCAAGTCTGCTGAAATTAAGGAGAGCTGATCTCCGGTTCTCTGTGACTAGAAAGAACCAGGTTCCTTTGTATCCAGTTGGATTTAACTTCCAAGTAACTTCCAATGTTTATGAGTCACTTTTTGAAATATTTTTTTTTTAAAAAAAACATTAATTTGAGAGAAATATAATTTTAAGTGGTGACAAGGGATAATTTTAGTGGTTGGGTCTTGCTACAGTCCATCATTCATGACCCAGCATCTGTGTGGGCCACCTGATTTTATCGCTGGCTCAGAAAAAGAAAATTTGCAATTATTTTTCTCTCTTCTCCAAAGCAACAATTGGCGGCTTGGTTTCTTAACTAAAACATGAGTCAGTTTCACTGACTGACATCAGAGGCAGCTCACGTGTTTCAGAGTTCCGATTAGAGTTTAAGTTTATGCCTCTGTAAAAGGATGAATGAATTCAGAATGCATAGGCGAAAAACAGCTTTCCTCTTTTAAAAAGGTGGTTTTAGCTTTGCAGCTTCCAAGTTTAGCTTTTGCAATGTTTAATCTGCTTTTTCACGCAGCCAGTAAGTGTAGCCAAAACTTTTAGTAATTTGGCAATTTATGGGTGTTTATTATAATTATTATTTCTTGTGATTCCCCCCCCTTTTTTTCTCCCCCTTCTTTTTCCTCCTGCAGGTCAGTAAAAGGATTTTACGTTGCACTGACAAAAATACCAAAATGAAAACCTTTATTTTTTAGTTTCCTTTTAGAATTTGCTGGCACTGCTGGCCGGATGCATTTTGAGTTTGTATTAGTTTATAAATTAACAGTAATACCAAGAATCGTGGAAAATGAAAAGCATGGTGCTTGCAGTTTTAAATATTGTGAATATTAATAGTCATGCATCAGAAAATACCCCTCTAAGCTTTTGGGTTTTTATGGATTCAACTGTGTTGAAATCACAGCATTGCAGCAGCAGAAAATGTTTTTATTTCATGTAAACGTTCTGAAGGGATCAATTTCAAATCCTGCTTATGATATGAAAAATATTAAAAAAACACCTCTTGGTCTTATTGTAGTTTTATTCAGACTGGTTTCTGGTTTTTGTTTCTCTTGGTTATTAAAATTGTTTCCTATTTTTGCTTACTAATATTATTGACATGGCATTTTTTAAGGGTATACTTTTTCTTGAGGGTTATTCTTGAACGTGGGAAATTAGGATGATGGTGACTGCCATCCTCACCAACTCATTCAATCAGGCAAATTATACAGAGTTGCAAGAAACTCAATTCAGGGGTTGATTCATGAACCGATTACACCCCCCCCCTCCTCCACACACACATTCCTGAAACACCACTGAATTCCCTGGGCTTGTTTGGAAGCAAAGATGTATGCAAACTGTATTACATGAATCCTATTCCCACATATACAGAAGTTTGACTGAAAGTTGTGGGACTGAGATAATTATTTAAACAAGGCAAATCACAGGAATAATAATAATGTCACTTTATAATATAGACTATCTTAATGGTAAAATACACTGAAGGGGTTGGGATGGGGAGTCAATGACCCCTAATATTTCTCTTTTTCCTAACTTTCTAGCTTCTTTTAATCTGACAGGTCTTTCCAATTCTAACAAGTTTTACCTGAATGCCAAGGGAAGGGTCCCTGCAGAGTGTTGCCCCTGGAAAGATATTGGGCACTTGGAGGAAATGTCAACTTGACCTTGCTTGAGATGAGTGACAGAGGAAAAGGGATTCCCAAAAGCAGGGCAGGCCAGAGGTATTTGTGTGTGTGGTGATTGTGGTGTCTAAAATGTTCATTCTTCGCCTGAAGTTTCTTCCCCTCATTTCTACCCCACTCCCCAACTGCTAGGGTCCATATCTGTTTTAGGTCCTAGGTCTGCCTTCATCTATTCTCCCATTCTACCTGAGCACAGCATCACACCCACCTAACCCACCCCCAACCAGCATCCCTTAACCCGCATCAGGTTTTAAATGGTCATCACGCAGACTAGTTCTGGGTCAGTACCAGCTGCGGTGTCCACTCTGAGCTAAATCGCCCAGATCTTGTTAGGGATAGCGGGGACAAAGCTGCTGACAGAAGCAGGCCTGAAAGTCCTTTGAGCTCACTTTTTTTTGGGGGGGGGGAGAGACATATTATACTCTTCACGGAGTGTTGTTTTGCACTCCGACACAATAACAACCACAATCTTGAGAAGGACTCCATAGGTGGATAAAAACGCTGAAACCCCTGGCTGGCCCTGCGCCCAGTCACATAATAATAGTCGCCAGCACCACCACAGCGGTGTAGGCTCCTAACATCTCTGTGGAACTGGGCTTCCTCGCAACGCCTTTCCCGAGGAGCGAGCTTTTCCTGGTTCTTGCCTCGCTCTCCAACGTGGAGGCAAGGGTTTCAGTCTCCCTGGAAATGTCCCCTTCCCCTTTTTCACCCCTCCGCCGGTGGGCTTCTCCATTAAGCCTCCAGTCTTGGCGGCGGCAACCGCTGCTAAAGAGTGGGACCGGCCGAAAGGCAAGCGCTTAATTATGCTTTTCCCCCCTTCCCACTTTTCCCCCCACCGAGACCCCCGAGATCAAACAAACAAAGTGCCAATCGGTCAGCAACCGCGACCAGCTGGAGCCGAAGCCAACCGGCGTTTCAAGCAGCTATTTTCCGCCTTTCATTTAATCCCAAGAGCGGTGCGCCCTGACTGAAAGCAAAGGGGTCTGTCCCAGCTCGCCGACTTCAAGGCCGGCGGGCAAATGTAGGACATACTCGGTGAGTGACATTTTGCCTCCCAAATGAGCCCCAAGATTTTAGTCGCTCCGACTAAGCCACCTTCCCTGACCTCGACACCCTGGGCACCTGAATCACGACGCAACCACTACACAAGATTGATGCCGTTACACATCGGTTGTGGCCCTTCAGAGATGTCCCAAATCTCCTTTAGTTCCGCGGCTTCAGATTCACAAGGCTGCCTTCGTGTAAAAAAAAAAAAAAAAAAAAAAAACCCTCAAAACTTAGTTTGAGGTGAACCCCGGTTCGCTCAACGAGGCGGCTGGTGAGAAATCAGCGCTCGGAAATCACCTCGGTTGGGCCGATCACGGTTAAGCCCCGGATCATTTTTACCTAATAGCGAATCTCGAAGTTTAGTTCAACTCCCGGAGATTTCCTAGAACCGAACTAGGGTCGGTTTGTCGCTCAATTGGGACTACTGTCATCTTTAAGAGCTAGCGGGTCGCTGGACTCCCCCAGTGGGAGACTCACTTTTAATTTCCCCCCTCCAAGTTGGGGGAGAGCGCTGGAGAGGCAGGGGAAGATTTTTGTCAGCAGTGAACCGGGTGTGTGTGAGAGAAAAAACACACACTACCAATTTTAGAGTCGCTGAGCTCCTGCAGAGGTGGGTGCAGTTAGCAATGAGCTGCTAGAAGCCGGTTTGCGGTCAGCTTGTGGTTTAGCAAGAAGCACGGAGGGCAAGAGCGAGGCCAGGCTTAGAGAGAAAGGCCCTTCTTTACCCTACGGAGGAAGGCACGCACGGCCTGTCGGAAGGCCTAAGAGGAATATTGTTCGTGGGAACTGCCACCGCATATTAATGTCCTCTCATGCGTGCACTGAATACATCACAGAAGCTAATTGAGCCACATCCCCCCCCCCCCGCCCAATCCGGCCCCGCTTTCTTTCTACCGGGGAAACTGGGCCTCAGAAAAAGCGCAGGAGGGCCTTTCGGCACCCGGACTGCCTTTTCTGCGTAAAAACTGTGCCAGTGGGTGGGAAGGCTGCAACCCGAGCCCCCTTCACATCTCTGCCCTGGATACCTTTCCATTTCTTTTCCCTGCACGCCATGCCGGCGAAGTTCCTTTGCCGGTCGTTTTGGACCGTTGAGGTCAACGGGCCGTTAAAGGAAAGGGAAAAGCCCAAACGGAGATGATATTATTATGGGGATGGAATTGAACTCATTGGGTTGAGTGCTTCGAAGGAAAGGAGCGTTCCCGCCGATCCTATATCGAAAACTGAAACACCCGAATGAAGTCCCTTCTCCAAGTCAGGCTGGAGGAAGTCAGGAATGCGGGAGCCCTTGGGGAAAATTAGTCGGGCCCTGCGATGAGGTTTTGTACACCAACATGCAGGGAGGACATAATGTGAGTAACCAAATAAAAGCTACTCTTCTTTCGTTTGGAGGGTTACGAGAAATCTCTGGGACCGAGAGTGCTGAGCATGTCGCTGGGGGGGACGGACGGACACACGTTAAGGCTCATCCCTTGAAGTGCCCGGACTCTGTGCGTCTAAGGCAGCGTTTCTCTCCATCTGGACAACTGGAACATGGATGGAGTTGCAGTCCACCCCTGCAACTTCCAATTGTCCAGGTTGGGAAACACTGAATTAGAATAAACTTTGATTTCTGAGCAAAAAAACATTGCTAGAATTGCCAGGCTGCGTGCAGAGAGTTTGGGGGGGGGGGAGGCATTTCGAAATAGGCCCCCATCCCGCAATCAAAAGTTACTGCTGACCGCTTCCCAGATGAGAGGGAGAAGTGAAACTTTACACTGGGGGTGGGGGCGCGCGCAAGGAGCGTGTTTTCCTTAGCTGCGCTACCCGGCTTCGACAGGCGTGTTGCGGTGGAATAAGAAAAGGAAAGGGGGGGGGGGCGGGGAGGGGGAAACTACCAGGTCTGGGCTGCATCAATCGGGACGAACCTTAGATGGCAGCAGAGAGCCAGGGACTTCGGCATTCCTTTTCAGCAGCTCAGCTGCCGCCGGGAGATTTGCAGCCCACATCTAGCAGCCCGGTAAAAGTTTTCCTTTCTTTTCCAACCTTCCTTTTCGCACGCGATTTGCAGCACTTGGGGGCTGCACAATCACACAAGACCACAAAAGCAAAACGTGTTGACGGACGCAAAGCGTGCGCTAAGAAACAAAACCCGAACGCAAACGCACCCGCCCCACCGATGAAATATCGGCATTGGGTTAACTCTGGAAAAGGGTCCCAACTGGCTAGCCCCAAACCGAGGTTTTATTTACTTTAGAAACAACGGGGTCGATCGCTGGGTAGACATTTCAATCAGGGATCCTCCTGGGCGATAGATGGGGCGATTCAGATCAACCCAATTGGGGGTGGGGGAGGGGAGGAGAGGAGAGGAGAGGCAAATGTCACGCATCCGTTTGCTCCGACTCTGAACCAGGACGACTCCGGACTTGGCTCCGAACCGGGACAGCTGTGGTTGGAAGATGCGTTGCGTAAAAAAGTAGGAAGACGGAAGGCGAGCGAACCGGAGGCGTCGAGGTGAGTCCTTGGCGGCGCCACGCTGCAGCCCCCCCCATTCGCCCTTCCTCTTCCTCCTTCCTTGGGGTGATTCGATTTACAACAAGCGACCTTCGGCGCCCCCTCCCCTCCCCCCCCCACCCCAATAGCCCGTTGGCCCTGTCAGGCTTCTGCTCACCTTTCCCTTGGCAGCCTAGCCCCTCCTCCCTACCTTTCAGCAGGGACAGGGTTAACCTGCACCTCCCCCTGAATGGGCTCTAGCTAGCGGACCTAATGAAAGTGAGGCGCGCTGACTTCCAGCTGAGCCTCCATTCAGCAGAATTGTTGACACAAGCAGCGGCTGGGGAAAAAGACAAAACCAGGAAGGTGCAATTTTCACTTTCTGGGCTGGCTGGCTTGCCTTGCAAAGGGTGTAGAGTTAGTCTCAGTTTATGACCACAACGGAGCCCCAAATTTATGTTGCGAAGTGAGACATTTCTTCACTGAGTTTTGCCCCCATTTTACAGCCTCTCTTTCTTGTCTCGGCTGTTAAGTGAATCATTGCTAAGTTAGTAACCCACTTAAGTAAATGTGGCTTCCCCCATTGACTTGGCTTGTCAGAAGGTTGCCAACATGATCTTGGGACACTAAGACAGGGGTCAGCAACCTGCGGCTCTGGAGCCGCATGTGGCTCTTTCACCCCTCTGCTGTGCTCCTGTCACTCAAAATATGCATCACAACCACCGATATTCGACACCGGCTGGCACACAGTTTATTGAGCTTTTCAACCCCCGGTAGGCCAACCATAGATAAATCCAAGAAAAAAAAAGTTTCAGAAGAAAACAGAACATTTAATTCAACTACATATGCTAGTTTTGTGGCCGCTCAAGAAATAGTCAGGCACAGGAAGGGTTTTGTGGCTCCCGGTGTTTTCTTTTCTGTGGGAAATGGGTCCAAATGGCTCTTTGAGTGTTTAAGGTTGCAGACCCCTGCACTAAGACAACCAACATAAATACGAACCAGTTGCTGAGCCTCTGAATTTTCGTCACCTGATCAATGGGGATGCTGCAAAGGTCATAACTGTGAAAAATGGTCATAAATCACTTTTTTTCAGTGCTGTTGTAACTTTGAACGGTCGCTAAATGAACTTTAGTAAATTGAGGACTAGCTGTACTTTTGACTCCAAAGTAAATCCCCCCTCTTCCAATTATATATCCTTGGACACAGCAGGTCATACTTCCAAAATATTAGGACAGGCCTGTGAATACGTTAAAAAAAATAAAATAAAAGATATACCTGTGATACAAATCAGAAAAAAAAAAATATGGGCACGACCACCCAGGAAGAATCCTTCAAGGTGCGTATCTGCTTTATTTCTTCTGATGTGTCTTCATACAAGCGAAGCAGCTGCTTGTGACTCATTTCTGAAGGAAAAGCTCTTTGCACATGCTCCAGGGCATTGAATGGTTGGACTATAGTTATGTAAAGAAAATGCCCTCTGTGTTAAATACAGACTTCTGAGGTTTATAGCATTCTCAAACCATCGTAAATATTCATCATCCCCCAACCAGTTGGGGATGATGAACCATCGTGGCAGTGAATGATGAAAATTGTAGTTCAGCCTATCTGGGGCCACTGGAAGAAATTGCTTTAAGGATGATACTATACACAGGATAGTTTCTTTACCTTCCCATCAAAAATTGCTCTCTTCCATTCAAGCCTTTTGCTCTTGACAGTCTGATGTTCTGCAGGTCATCATAATCATCCACCCACAGGATAGTGTGAAGTATGGGACTTGTAGTCTAAAGAGCATTGGGTCACCTTCCCTGAAAGTTCTTTAACCACCTTCCCTTCCCCGCTCTGAACAAACTGACCCGCAGCAACATTCATTTCCTCTCTTGGCAAGAGAAATAGGAAGTGTGCTACACAAAGGAGGCAAATGAAGGAGACAGGGAAGTAGGAATATCAGCCAGGGAAAGTAGGAAGAAAGAGGTGCCACAGATCAGTCATCCCTCCCATTGTTTCTCAATAGCACTTTCTCTCCAGTGTTACTCGATGTGTAAAGCTCACCCAGTATGACTTCATGAATGCTTCCCTGGAATTTTCTTGGCAGTGATATGGAATTGGTTGATGACTGCCCTGTTCTGTAATTGATTGATTGATTGATTGATTTTGCTTCCCATTCTAGCTTATAGCTTTGAATTTTGCTAAGGTGTTTCTTATGCAAAGCCAAAGCAGGCCTGAATATGCATCGCCTGCCAGTTAAGACAGGATTAGCCAAATGCTGCCCTCTGCCGAGACCTTCAATTTATTGCCCCTTCCCCACAATTCTCTCTTGAGCAGGTCTGAAAAGAGCTCACGTGGATCCCTGCCCCTGCACTGGCATCAAACGTGGAAATTTACCAGCATCTTTCAGGTTATTATTCATTGGATTTATATTCCACCTTTCCTCTAGGAGCCGAAGGTGGCATGCTCCTTATTTTGAAAAATTGCTGTATCCAAGCAAAAATCACTATTAGCCTAGAATAGAATTTCCCCAAGTCAGCACTTTGTGTGTCAAATTCACTGAGCAATATATACACTCTCGTTTGGTGTGTTTATTTGCATCTGTGCTGTGAAATGAGTCATTATGGTTATTACTGTGTGTGTGTGTGAGAGAGAGAGAGATAGGTTAGGCCAAAATGCTTTTCCTTGGGATTGCAGAAATCAGACAATTTGAATAAGTTTCCTAGATGCTTAATTTGACCTAGTACATTTATATCCACATGAGAATGAAGTAGCCATGGACTATATGCCTAGCCACCTTCAAATCCCTAAGACTTAACTTTGCAAGAAAGGTTTTGGAGCAGTGGAACTGCAACCTGATCCATGAGAAAAACAGTGGGACATTCAAATAAATATGCTCTTATACATAACAGCCTGTTCAATTATACAAGCAATCTGTGTATCTCACCCAAGAATAAGAATAGCTTGTCTTTGAACAGCTGGATTTAATTTTTTTTCAAAAATGTGAATCCAACACTTATTTATTTGCTTCTTCTTCCTTGCATGTCAAGAGTGTCTCTAGTGACTAATAGCACTTCTGTACTGATAGGACCTTGATTGCATAGCACACCAACAAAACTCTTACCAGACTGTAATGCAATGCAAACATGTTTTAAAATATTGTAACTTCCCCTTTTTTTCTCAACCATCTTTCTTGATAAAGAGCTTTCCACAACCCAAAAGATTGCATGCTATTTTATAAACTTTAAATTAGTTTAATAAAGGTATTGCTTTAATATTATTTCAATATCTTTTTGCTCTGAAATGGTATTTACTGCAACATGAAATGAAGTTGCAGTATGAACAGCTTTTTGAGGGGATTAGAAAAACTATGCAGGGCAATGTTTTCAATGACCACTTATTATTAGAGCTGTATGGTGCCTACCAGATTAAAACCCATGTTCCCATGACATGCTGAATTATATAATAATCATAATCATAATAATGATAAGTATAATAATAACAACCACCACCACCAAAGTGTACAATTTATTGATATCGCTGTACCAGGAGACACCAGAGTCAAAAAAAAAAAAAGAACTGGAAAAAAATAACAAAATATCGCGACCTGGCCATCGAAACTACACGATTATGAATGAAACATGTAACAGTGATACCCGTTGTCATCGGGGCACTTGGTACCATGTCCAAGAATTTTACAAAATACATCCAGAAATTGCAGCTTCCTTCAATCACACCAGCAGAACTTCAAAAAACTGTGCTACTCGGAACATTGTACATTTTAAGAAGATACTTGGTTGATACCTAGGATGCTGGCAGCAACCCGTATCAACCATCAGCACCAGTCAATGATATTTGTAATACATTTTTAAATGGTCAGTTGACTGAGTTTCATGTTTAATGAATAAAAGAGATAATAATAATAATAATACCAGCCAACTTTTAACTTTTAAGAGCCTGTAGTACAGTGGACTAAAGCACTGTAATTAACATCTACTGCTCGCAATTACTGCAAATTCAAATCTCACCAGGCTCAAGGTTGACTCAGCCTTCCATCCTTTCAAAGGTAGGTAAAATGAGGACCCAGATTGTGGGGGCAATAAGCTGACTTTGTATAAATATACAAAAGTATGAAGGCTATTGCTTAAAGCATTGTAATCCGCCCTGAGTCTCCGGAGGAGGGCAGCATATAAATTAAAGCAAAAAAAAAAAAACCAAAAAAAAAAAACCCTTAGTTCCCTTCGTATCCCCTGTGTTTAGTTTATTATTTATGGTTCAGGGGAAGATGGGAAGCCATAAAAATATGCAAAGATAACCAATATCAGTTGCTCTTCTATTTGTGGTATTCTTAGAAGTGTTTGCTTGATCATGGTAGAAATAAGATGCCAGACTCATCCAACAGTATATTTCCTTTTTGCAGATGATAATAGGTAACAGCCAAGCTTTTGTACTAATCTTTGTTCTTTGCCTCCTCCCTTTGACATAGAGACAAATGCTATTGAACTTTTCTCTACAAGGTAAGTCTAACTGATCTCTGAGTGAGTGTACATAAGCTCAAAGTATGCGTCACTAAAGGATCTGAACATGGTATCTTGGTATTTTTGTGGGATGGGATAGTTAATGACTGTTGACCATTGAAGTTGGGCAGTTAATAAATTTCATTCAATCATTCAATCAATCTTAATTCTTATAGCCAAAAAGAAAAAAATGTTGGGATCTGCAGTCTACAAATTTACCTGTAAAACCCAACTAAAATTGCACTGAGTCTCAATAAAAACATGAAGTCACTAGACACAATAAGGCTGAACCTGATCAATACTTATGTAGATGGAATTCCTCCAGGGAATTCAAAAGCCATAGATCAGAATAGATTTTTTTTTTAAAAAATCCCCAAAAAGCCATTGGCATATATCTGAGGATATCCATGAAATCTGAGAGTCAAGTGTTCCTAAAAGGAAAATTTATTTATTTTTACTACCTAAGAGTTTTTGCATAATGCAGCTTCAGAAAGCCTGCATTATGCAAAATCAAATTATTTTGTTTGATCACCTAGTTTTACAAGAATGATCATTAAGAGCCATAGAGAAATTTACACTGCTGTAAATTTCAAATAAAAGAGAACTGCTAACAAGATTTTGACCCAGTATTATAACCAAGACTAGCAGAAAACACAACTGAGGATCTGGATAGAGGGACAACCATCAATTAGATGATTAACGTTTGCATTAAAACATTCCACTTTTTAAAAAAGAGATTGACTAGCAAATCAGGTCCCCTGGCATAGATGGCTGGATGTGGGGAGAAACGTAGTACATAAAATCATGCTTATATATACTTGGGAATAAAAACTATCTGGGTTAGTAAACCTATTGGGTATTAGCTTGTTGCTTAGGACTTTCTCACATCTGTATTATAAATATATATTTCAGTAAAAGTTACTGAACCAAGGAGAACTTAGTTACATTTTAGTTAAGGATTTTTAGCTTTTGAGAATCCAGATCTCAATCCGGTGATGAGTCTGTCATTCAGTGAAACCTGGGAACCCTGAAAAACATGGGTTGATATAACCTGGGAAAAACATGATATAATGCAGTTTAAAATAGTGATATAAAAAAGATATCCAAGGGCACAAATTTATTCATGGACATTTTCACATTTAACTGTACTCCCAGCTGATCTTGGCAGATCTCAGAAAGTTAAGCAGGGTCAGACCTGATCAGAATATGACAGGAAAGCACCAGGAGATCCCAGGGTTATAGGTCAGACAGGGAAATTGAAATAAACATCCCCAAAGAAGACAAAGACAAATGACTTAAATACTGTTGTCAAGAAATCTATATGGACATGTCTGAGGTATCACAGAAACTGAGCTTAACCTGAATGAAACTTTCCTTCCAAAGAAGTGTGGTTAAAGTTGCAGCCTCTCTTGGAAGTAAATCCAAAGAGTCAAATGGGACTAATTTCGGAGCAAAGAGGCTTAGGAAGCAATGTGGCCCTGGAACAATTGGGCACGTTTATTATGGGGAAGGAATAACCTTGTCAATATTTGTTTATGGGAGTTTAAATCTAGAAAGCCTACCCAGAAGTTGCAGAGATATGTTCTCACTGCACATTTACTTATTCAGTACAGCTATCATACAAAACTGCCTCGGATTCTTAGAAGGAAGTAGAGATAGTATGTTGTGTCTGGCTACTGTCATCTACTGGGCATCCAGAGGATTGCAGCCTGGATACAGTAGCCCTAAAATTTAGCTTAACTGGGGCTAGGTTGGCAGTGTTCCAGGGATAAAGTAGGGTTGTTAACTGTTTCCAGCAGTTTGTATACTTTAAAAATTGGTAAAATGATGCCATTGTTTGAATTAAACAAGTTATTTTTGTGATGCAATATATCATCGCAGCTCTTTGGGGCACCTAGTGCCAGATTTCTGACTACTTTTCATTTCTCTCCTTGCTCTTTTAGTGCAGCGTAGCTTCTTCACCCTCTGGAAAGGCCATGAAGCAGCTGGCTTAAGCTTCACACAATCTTGTTGTGGGGTTGGCAATTCTTCCAGCATTGCAAAGGCTGACGTGCTTTTTTGGGATGGGGGGAGGAAGAGGGGGAAGCTGAAAAGTAAGCCCAAATAGAAGGAAAAAGCAGCCACCCTTGACTCTACAGAAAACTCTACAGTTTCTATATCTTCCTGTTTTGTATCTTGCTATTGAGCAAAAGAATAGCAAAGTATGACTTAAACAGGAAGCCATCAAGTTGGAGAATTCATCTGAAGTCTTAACAACATGATTCCTCCGAGATTAAAACTCAATTTTCTTATCACATCACTTATGCAAACTAGTCATTCAAAGCAAGAATGTCTACATCATAGTTCATTGATGCTTTAAAACAATTCTTCAGCTCTAGAGACATTTATCACTCTAAAACAAGTATTTAGTAATAATTAAGAGGTTGTGCTAGAACCTAGACCTTACTACTGGATTCTAGAATCCAGGGAGGAAAATGGAGGAGAGAATATGTAACAGATAGATTTGAGACTTGCTTGTCAGGAACAGAGAGTCCCTTCTGTTCCTCTTCTGGATCCAGCAGCTAAGCCATCAATTCAGTTCTCCAGAAATTAATCTTGGAACCAGAAGTGGTTTGTGGGGTTCCAAAGCAGATCTGAAATATTATGAGTTATTTCCAAGATTAATTTCTGGAAAACTATTTTATTTCCAGAATAACAGGATTCCTATCGTCTGGAAGATTCTGCACATCCCTAGTAATTAACTACATGAATTTATTGGAAAGGTGGTTTATAAATCTAAGAAGCATAGATTCAGTTGCTCATCTCTCTCTACCATGTCTTTCTTTCCCTGCTTTTCCTTCTGTGTGTATAGATCTCCTCTCACAGGATAATGCTCCAAGCATCTTATAAACTAATAAGATAGGAACTAATGGGATTGATGTGACAAAAATATACCGTATGTTTTGGACTATAAAATGCTCTGGACTATAAGATGAAACTAGCTTTTGGAGAGGAAAACAAGAAAATAAAATCTGCCTCTGAGCAATTTGCCTCCTTGCAGCAAACAGCAGTCGCCACTGCCTATCCCTGCCGCCTGGAGCGGGCTGAAAATGGGGTGTGCGGAGGCCAAAAATGGGGCATGTAGCATGCCAAAAATGGGATGCACGGAGGTGATGATAGGCAGCAGCAATGGGTGGCAATGGTGGCGATTGGTTGTGGTGATTCCCGCAGCCTGGAACAGCTGATAGATGGTATTTTGGAAGGCAGATCCAACTGCCAATCAGCTAATCCTGCTAAATCAGGCTGTGTGAAGCTGACCAGGCTGTTTGCTGTTTGCTGTAAGGAGGCAAATTTCTGGGAGGCAGAAGCCGAAATGTGGGGGCTGGTGGGTGGGCGAGGCTTCAGCAACATTCGTTCTATAAGACGCAAAGACATTTCCACCCACATTTTTTGGGGGAAAAGTGCATATTTCCCCCCCAAAATACGGTACTTTTTGATACAAGATGCTTGATACGGTTAAAATCTAGGCAGCAGCCCACCTTTTGAGTATCTTGATCTTAACGCAACTATACTTTTCTTTATGTGTAGATTAAAAATGGATGATTTTGAGTATATCAGAAGAATCCACCTTCTGAATAGCTAACTGAAGGAGCCATTTGTCTTTTAGTGCTTTCTCTCTCTTTCCTCTTCCCCAGTTCACATGATTTTTTAAAAATCTTATGATCTAAAACTTTCCTTATGCAGTGATCTAAGACTACTTCTCTGCTACTGAATTAAACTGCTATCTAGTTTTTTGTTAGCAGAAAACAATGTTATCATAAAATTAGCCTTCTAGGTAGCCTGTATCAATCCTCCATATTAAATAGCAATAGCACTTTGACTTATATACTGCTTCACAGTGCTTTTACAGCCCTCTCTAAGCAGTTTACAGAGTCAGTATATTTTCCCCAACAATCTGGGTCCTCATTTTATCCACCTTGGGAAGGATGGAAGTCTGAGTCAACCTTGAGCCTGATGAGATTCGAACTGCCAAATTGCAGTCAGCTAGCAGTCAGCCTGCAGTACTGCACTCTAACCACTGTGCCACCGTGGCTCTGTCATCCCAATTTAACTAGTAAATATAGGTAAGCAAATGAGGACTCTTTTTGAGGGGTGGGAAGGGGTGCTTTCCTGTCTTTCCCATTCCACAATGCTACCAGCCATGCTATTCATCAGTCAGGTCACTGCAAAATGAATTGGTTGGATCTGATGACGTTTCTGCATCATCTGGGTCTCTGTTTCAGCTTCCTTAGTGTGGATCAATTGCCCTTCCTCCCACACTCAATGTGGCATCAGAAGTCCAAAATAATGTGAAAGAAAGAAATACACAGTAGGAGAAGATTTTAGTTAATGTGCCTGAAAAACAGACAGTCTAAACCTGAGCAGTACCAAATTCTAATTTGGACAATATAATTAGAGATACACAGGAAAAAAAAAACAGCCCTGGAGAGAAGGGAGACAGATCTGCCATGATAACCTAACTAATTATATCCCTTAAAGAGGGATAAGAGAAACTGCCTAGCCTGCTGAGCTGGTGGGGTTGATAGAAACTTAGAAATGCAGGGAAACCGGCAGTCAACATGTTCAACATTTCTCTTATTTCCAGGTTAGCATAATGAGGAAAATTCCTGTTGCATCTTTATGTAAAGACTCCCAGTAGACTCTGTTTTTGAATTGTGCAAATATGTCTCCTCTTCTTCACAAATAAAATACTGGAAGTCTGCTCATCTCTACCTTGTTAAAATAGAGAGAAGATGTTTTCTAAAATGAGTGGGTAGGGAAAGTGATGTGTATAAATGCAGTCTAGGATGCAAAGCACTACAAGACAACTAATACTGAAAGAAAGTGGCTATGGTGTGGCATAGCTAGTGATCTGAGGGGAGAGGCACACCTGTTCCTCTCCAAATGACCACACATCTCTGGTTACACCTGCAACAACTCACCTGTCCTCAAGAGAGGCAACATGTTATGGATGGCACATTCATTCATTCATTCATTCATTCATTCATTCATTCATTTTCTATAGCTTTGAAATGACATAGAAACAATGTTGGACACAAAGAAGAAACACTATTTTTATTCCAATACAAAATTGTAGGGCTGGCAAAAGTCATGACTGGGATGAGAAGAAGCCAACATATTGCAAGGGGAACTTTGGGTTGCCAGGTATAATGGTGCCATTGTGAGTAGGGATAGGGTTTCAATGTCGGAGCTCAATGAGTCTTACTTCTGAATAGCACTGCTTCCTCTCTAAATGTCAGCTTCAACATGACACCCTGCAGATAATGATGATATTAGTTTTAATATAGCCACCACTCCAGTGGATGCTGATGTGCTTGTTTTATTTAGGAAATCTATATAACTTCCATCTTAACAAACAATTCTGGAATGCTTATGATCCCAAACAATTAAAAACAGCATAAATACAACTACTTTCTCCCCCCCCACTCTAAATAAACAGAGAACACAAAATCCAAAATCTGAGGCTCCTGACATTTAATCTTCATCAGTATTGGATTCCACTAACAACCCAGCTCTAATAACTGTTGGGTTTGTATAACCTTCTAAAAGGCCAAATGGTCAAGGCTGCCTAGATCTCCATGGGGGACTGTTTCCTTTAGGAAAAGGAATATCTCCTAGGTTCCACAAGATGGCATGAATTCAGGGGTCAAATCCAGCAGGTTCTGACAGGTTCTGGAGAACGGGTAGCGGAAATTTTGAGTAGTTCGGAAAACCGGCAAATAGAAGAGAACCCAGAGTGGGTTGGGAATGGAGATTTTGCAATATCCTTCCCCCAGGAGTGGGGAGGGAATGGGGATTTTGCAGTATCCTTCCCCTGGAGTGGAATGGAAATGGGGATTTTGCAGTATCCGTCCCCTGCCATGCCCACCGAGCCACACCACGCCCACCAAGCCACGCCCACAGAACCAGTAGTAAAACAAATTGAATTTCACCACTGCATGAATTCACCGAGGGTACTTAAAGCACGTTCACTCTGCTGGATCTGGTGAGATGGGCAGAAATGTGTGCCAAGAAATGGTCCTTCAAGCAACCTGGTCCTATGCCATGTAGAGCTTTAAAGGTGATAAACACCAGATGAATTGGACAACAGTTTCCACAATCTTTAGCCTTGTTGGAGGACGACTGTGATAATTGTAGTAGCTGGGTTGGGGAGAGTTAAATTAAATTAAATAACTTAACTTATAGGGACAGCTGTCTAAAATATACCCTAAATAAATGGCATATTCTTTGAAGAAGTTAGGACTGCTAGATAAACTACAAGAACTTCTTGGGATTCTCGGGATGGAAGAAAGCTTTTATGTTTCTGAAGTATATTAGAGGGCACAGGAATTTCTATCCATGCTGATATTTGCCAAATGATTTGATATGTAATAATACATATTACATAATGATATTTACCATTCAGGAGCGGCCATAATTAGCAGCATTAAATGAGTTGTGCTGCTCCTAGATCTCATGAAAACCCATTTTACCCAGAATTTATTTCTTATAGTAGCTAAGCAAGAAATAAGTATCATTAGTGCAAGCTTGTTAGAAATACAGACAAAGAGTGAAAGAAAAGAAACAAATAAAAAAAGAACATTGCCTCCCCCAGCCTCCCTAGTAGTTAGCATGGTTTTTTTTTTTTTTTAAAGAGTTGTCTTTCTAATATATTTTATTTCCCCTTTCAGTATTCCTCTTGGGGCTCAAATGTAAAATGCCATGTTTCCATGCTATACATGTGTTCCATTAAAAGATTTGTCTAGCTGCGAAAAGTGCTGCTAAGCATCGAGAAGGAAATTAAATATATAGAATGATAAGCTGCTGCTAAGACATATAAAAACAGTTAAATTAATAATAAGGACTTATTCTGAAGCAAAAATTCAATTTTACTGCCTATTATACCATCTTTGCATGTAAAGTTGCTTTAATGCAGAATAGCAGCTCTTCAAAAATTCTGTTTTATTGGGATCAAAAATTTATGATATCCTGAGGCATGAGGGAGCAAGGTATAAGGCAAACGAACTACATTTTTTTTATTAAGCTTAATGCTCTCTGAAACAGAACATATTTAAAACTTTTTATTGTTATTCCTGAGAGGAGACATGATGGCATGGAAGTGTCTGATGTTATCAACCTTCTTCTATGACAGCAACAAGGACTATTTCATGATTCCACAATAGGGTCAAAGAATACCTTGGTTCCAGAAAAAGCAGAAGGTTTCTATGCTAATGTAAGGTGTTCTTCAGTTGTCTAGGCTTCCAGTCACAACTCTATGTGACCCATTTTTCAAGAAATAAGATCTATAGAAATAGCCCAATGCTATAGAAATTTAAACCCAACTTGCTGGAAATGCAAACAGGCACAGGACACTTTTTTCATGTCTGGTGGCTTTGCCCAAAAATTAGGAAATTCTGGGAAAAAATAAAAACATGGCTAACAGAAATAACAGCAGAGGAAACAGAGTTTAAACCAGAAATTTTTCTATTAGGTTTGATCACAGAAAACTATTGGAAAGAAATAAAATATTTAATATTACATATAATTACGGCAGCTAGATTGGCATTAGCTCAATATTGGAAAACGGATCAATTGCCAACAGATTACCTAATAATCCAAAAAATTTACAATTGTGCTGAAATGGATAAATTAATATTTGAGTTAAGATAAGGTAGACTCAAAATACTATACGGCATGGTATAGATGGTACGATTGGATAAATCAAAAGAAAGGAGAGTAAGTGTAAAATTAGGTAAAACAACAAAATTAACAAACAGGCACCTTCAACAAGATAAAGGATGTGATAAAATGACAAAGTCACTTTCTATATTTTGTTTTTTTTTCTTTCTCTCTTCTTTTTAATTTTCTTTTCTTTTCTTTTTCTATATTTTGCTATGAGTAAGTAATGTCGTTCGGATTAATATAAATGTATTTTGTATATACTGTATTTTATCTTTTTAAGTTTAAAAAGTTTGTTTTTAATTTTTTTTAAAAAAAGAAATAGCCCAATGCAAGTAGTCAGTGCAAACATATAGTCTTTAGAAGGGTGATTCCCCAGGTTATTTTGGCCCAATGATCATATTTCAAAATCAAAGTATGTTATGGAAGCTGCACTGGGAGCAAGAGTTACTTACAATCTGTATACTCATTTCATATTCAAATATACTCAGGTCATAATGTTCTTTGATATTCTCTTTTCTCATGATATATCTCTGATAACTCTGATTTGTCTTTTTTTTGGGCAGGTAGGACTACTTGCATACAATTTCCTGGGATTCATTCACCTGTGGTTTTTTTTTCTTCTTCTAAAAATATACAGAGGATCTGTATTACTGGAAATTACTGGAAATAAAAGGCCTCCAGGACTTCTAAGGCCATGACTACATCCTAAGATGCAAAATATAAGGTTACTCTGAAATGACTAAGCTCAATGATCCATTGAAAAACCATAATGAACAAAACAAGTTGAACTGAATGTAGAGACTTGTAATTTTATTCGGTCCTCCAGTGATAAAGCTAGAACAATTTACTTATGAATATTAACTCAGTGAAGCACAATACCATACAGAGTAGACTATTTTTAATAGATCTGAACATTCCTGAACAATAGCTTTATCTTTTCAATATTCAGTTTCAGTTATTGGTACTCATTTGACTCATTATTGTCTTTAGACACTATTGTCTACTTTTACATACATATGAGATCTTCTGTGTAACAATGTTAAGAATTAGTCCTTTCCCCATGCTTGAGTCTTGAGTCTCCTTATACTTTGAAAAATAAATTTATGGTACCACTTCAGAGTGATAGTAGTCTTTTTCAAAATGTTGCCCAATATAAATAAAAAGCAAGCACTGTAGCATTAATAACAATCTAAAAAATAACAAGATTTACATCTTGCAAATTGAAGTTGAAATAATTTGAAAGAAAATGCCAGCCAATAATAATTACAGCTCCTGGAGCCATACTAAAGAGATTCATATTACATATTTGAAAAGTTCAGATTTACTTGACCATTGACTTGAAAAAACAAAACTTCTATAGTCCTCAGTTCCTGACTCTTGGCTAGAAACTGAATTTCTAGAAAATAAATTACAAAATTATATTTTGCATGAATTAAATGTTGGATTATTAAATGATGACGATGATGTCTTGTTTATATCTTTTGCAATTAAAAAAATATGTTAGCTGATCCAAGTGTACAGTTGAGACAGACCAATGGATACAAACAAACAAAATCACTAACAAACATAATGTGATATCAATCAAATGAACGAATTAATTTTGTTTCATGGAGAAATGTTTACAACAACCAGGTCCACACTCAGTGTTATTATATCTGCAGATTTGAGGATATCACTCAAAACTAGTACCCAATTTACTTTCTTTAAACTGTTTGCCTATGCATATCTGTAGAATGGGAATAATACAGAATTAATGAAGGTGGATACTGTTCATAAATGCTATTAATAGAGTGATAAAAGGAACAAAACACTGCCAACCAAATACAGTATGTCTTATTTGAAATTTAAAAGAAGTGTAATTCAGGTTAATATTTTGCTTGGTTTATAAAACAAGAAGTGACATAACACTGGCTGACATAACTGTAGCTGCAATGAATCACTATTTTATTTTCCTATTGTCAAATATTTAATAATTTATATTACTAGTGCAGCCAAAGCACTTTGCACATGCCTCAATATACTGCTACCATTATTATTTTATGAATTCTTCTAATACAAGAATCATTATCTCAGAGTGAAAAATGGTTTCGAGGCCAAGTCATGGAGATTCTTAATCAAAGGTAAACTCTGTGTAAGTGTTAAATTTGTAGTCAAAAGAAGGCTCTTTGATTATGCCATCCCGTTCCATAATTTATGAAGTCATTTGGATCAGACATAAACATAAGAGAGTTATCTTGTCTCTGACACAGAATGTGAAAATGTTGTTCTAATAAATCAGTGTAACCTTGATATCTTTTGTCTCTTCTTTAATCTGTATCCAATTGTTCTTTACAGTAAATACATCATAATTAGTCCTGCATGATGTTTATGAACATAACAGCTGATAAGTGAGGGAATTTTTCCCCCTTTTAGTTTAATCTTCTACATGATAAACAAAAGGGATTTTGCTGAAAATAAAATACAAGGTAAATGTGGTACTTAGAGGGTTAAGCAAGATCTCAGAATCAAAGTAAATATTTAAATGAATTGTTCCAAGGCTAGGAAGAAGAATAAGAAAGTCTCTCAATTTAGCTAAGTATAAATTACTGAGCTTTATATTAGCTGTCAAATTATTTTTGTCCTTGTATTCAAGTACTCCATTCCTTTAGTAATGCTACACGTGATTTTCAGATATATGTCTTGTTTCAGGCTTGGCAAGTAATTAAACTAAATGGTTTAAAAGTTTGCATATACCATTTTTATCCAGCCCCCAGAAAAGACAAGTGACTTGATGATTATTACAAGGTACAGTTTCCATCCAACCTCCCTGCAAATCAGAATGAAGAAATGAATGAAGAAATAAATCTTATATTGTACTGTATTCACAAAGAATTCTAGATATCTGAGACAATGCTTTTTTTTTTTTTTTTTAAAAATCCTTGCTATGGAAGGAGTATGTCTTATGAAAATCAATTATATTTGTAGAAACAATCCATAGAGTTAAAATAGAATTGCTCTCACTTATCAAGGTTTTGCCTGATATCAAAATGTTTTAGTGGAGAGTGTTCTTATTCAGTGGCTCAGCCTGCTGTACTCTGTTTCAGATTACTCCATTCCATTTCTGCTTCTTCTGATTTTATTTTATTTTTTCTTTCTATAAAATCAGTCCAGGGGTGAAATTCAGCAGGTTCTGACAGGTTCTGGAGAACCGGTAGTGGAAATTTTGAGTAGTTCGGAGACTCGGCAAATGCCACCTTTGGGTGGCCCCAGAGTGGGGTGGGAATGGGGATTTTGCAGTATCCTTCCCCTGCCACGCCCACCAAGCCACGCCCAGAGAACCATTAGTAAAAAAAAATTGGATTTCACCACTGAATCAGTCTGTAATCTCTGGGTGCTGAGGATGTTGTTCCCCCTCACCCTCTTTTTTGGCCTCTGGCTGTAAATTAATAAAGTGAAAGTATGTTCAGTTCACACTGACTGCATTTTTGGAATGCATTCTTTTTCAAATCTCTTATTTGAGTAATGCTGCTTTGGCTATGGAAGATAATGAGTAGCAGATATTTGATAAATACTGCAATTTAACATATGATCATTTCACAGTCCATGATTTTTGATATCAAAATATGGCCTTAGTCTTCAGTACAGATTTCCATATGTTGGAAAAATCTGTAGAGATTGTCAGTCATCCAGGTCATGGTTGTCCCAAAGGTGCTTTTTCAGGAAGCAACTGGACTTTTTTGTTTTTTCTTTGAAGATGTTTCGCTTCTCATCCAAGAAGTTTCTTCAGCTCTGACAGGATAGTGGGGGATGGAAGGATTTATATTCCTTGCAAACAGCTGGTCATTTGCATCCTTTTCAAGGGTTATTGAAGCACTTGGAGGTTTATCTGTGTCCTCAGGGTCACCTGAGTAGTTCTCCTGGTTCCTGTAGTCTGCAGTTTTTTCTCTGGAAATCCATTCCTACTCCCACACCATTCAAAGTGTGTTCATCCCAAATTGTATAGCTTAAAGTCTGTAGAGATTGTCAGTCATCCAGGTCATGGTTGTCCCAAAGGTGCTTTTTCAGGAGGCAACTGAACTTTCTTGATTTTTCTTTGAAGATGTTCCTGTCACAAGACATTTGACAGGAATGTCCTGTCAGAGCTGAACGATTCTGTCAGTTGAAGAAGCTTCTTGGATGAGAAGCAAAACATCTTCAAAGAAAAAACAAGAAAGTCTAGTTGCCTCCTGAAAAAGCATCTTTGGGACATATATTGGAAAATTTCAAGTCCATCCAAAATTAGTCATGCAGGAGAAATCTTAGCTAGAAACATTCTTCATATTATATTCATTTATACATTTTAATGCTGTTTTTCCTCACAAGAGCCCAGTGTTAGACACTAAAGCAATGTTGGTTTTACTCCCATTAAAAAAAGTTAGATAATTTAATCCAAAAAGAAACAAAGTGTGAATGAGAAACCGTTCCAGATTAAGGTCACAGGATTTCCCCTCCCCCCTCTTTTACCTAGAATCCGTTCCAAATTCTTTTTCAACATCTTACACAATTATCAATCACCTACTTTTGAAATAAAATGTACTGGCATACATGGATTAAAATGCTGGGTAAGGGCAATTAAGAAAATTAAAAAGAAAAGTGGAGGTGGTAGGCAAAGAGATGATGATAGGCTGGGACAGGCAGAGGAAACAAAAAGATAGATTAATATGAAGTGGAAGGAATTTGGGAATTAAAAGAAGAAATTATACAGGTAGTATAAGAGCTTTTCCCAACTTGTACCTACCCACAGCACAGGGGAAAATGTATGATATTGTATTTGTCTTGTCTCGAACCAATGAGTGAAGTAAGCTTGAATTACTCTTATCTGTACCAGTGCTAAAAGTAATTTTTTCTTTCTTAAATCAATAACATCCAATGACAGTTTCAAGTGTGAAAAATCTGTTATGCTTTGGCATATCTTATATCAGAAGTTCAGTCAAATGACCAGTAGTAGCTGAAATTAAAGAGACATTTTCTGGCTATTTCAGGCTGAGCATCCTATAGGATACTAGGACATCAGGATGTTTTATGTAGTCTATGTAATGATGGAAGAAATCGGTAGCTGGTAAATTGAAATGATAGTTTATCATAATTGCTCAGTAGTATTAGATAGCTCAGCCAACAGTACTGTTGTAATTGTCTTGCTACTTTCGGGTTGGTTGAAATAGCACACAAGTGGAATGACGGGAACATTGCCACATCCCCTCCTGAAAAAATTAATGAGGAATCTTGACTTAGGCATTTGTAGACAGACAGACAGTCAGTCAGACAGACAGATGACAGACAAATGACAGACATATGATGATAGACAATCAGGCAGGCAGGCAGGAAGGCAAGCAGGCAGGCAGATATAGATAGATATGAGCCATGGGGCGTAGTGGTTAGAATGCAGTATTGCAGGCTAATTCTGCTCACTGCCAGCAATTCGATCCTGACCACCAAAACGTTGACTCAGCCTTCCATCCTTCCAAGATCAATAAAGTGAAGACCCAGATTATTGGGGACAATATGCTGACTGTTTAGAGAGGGCTGTAAAGCACTATGATGCAGTATATGTCTAAGTGATATAAATATTTTGAGAGAGAGAGAGAGAGAGAGAGAGAGAGAGAGAGAGAGAGAAGGAGGGAGAGAGAGAGAGAGATAATAGATAGATAGATAGATAGATAGATAGATAGATAGATAGATAGATAGATAGATAGATGATTGATGGATAGATAGACAGATACTGTATTCAGCAGTGGTTATGGCAGAATAGGAATAAGAGGAGTGGCACAGGAAAAGCCTAGGAGTGATGGATTAGATTCCTGCAGTTATTGCTACTCTATTTTTGCTACCATACTGGATATGCAGATGTTTTTCCTTCCTGGCTGATGACATGCTGAAGTGGGATGATAGCAAAACTGGAGGAATCTACGAAAGATTTTGCTGAGACACATAATCAGGGCAGCACCAATCAGCAGCAACTCGAGACAGATGTAATAAAGGCAGGCTGGGGGACAGCTGATTTCATGCCAGTATAGTTTTCTGCTGAGTCACAGGTGGGGAGAGACCACAGTGGGGAAATCCCCTAAAGTTTTACAATTGACCAAAATGAATGGCAAAATAATATTTCACAACATAATGACAACTGTATGAACTAGACAGTAAAAAAGTCCTCTATTAGTGTCTTTTGATCTGTTTGTTCAAGAATCATATACCTTTGTGAGAGAGAAAATTTGGAGCTTCCAAGATCTATTGTGTTCAGTTTTTTGCAACTATTCAAGTTTTGGGCCTGGCACTCTATGAAACCTTTAGAACCATCTTCTAAATTACTTGTAGTATCTTGTTCAGCCAGACAATGTTACTGAGAACTAGACAAACATTAAATCCTAACCCTAAACTGAATATTAATTTTGTAATTTTATTCAGTGAGAATCAATTACCCCTCCAACCTTCCTCCCTTGAATTTCCTCAATAGGCAGAATATTTATATAACAATCCTCTTCGTTATGAATTCCTTACTATTCTTTTCAATATTGTCTTGATGGGTTTACAAAACAATTGCTATGTCTGATTAGTCTTGCAAAGATGCTAGGCTACCTGTTCCCCACAACACAACACAACACAACACAACACAACACAACACAACACCATATCCCCCTACACAAATGTATGAACCTACTGTAATTGTACTACAGAAAAGAAAGTATGGTTTACGTTTTCTGATCTGCAGTTTATTGGGTTGTCTTTTTCGTGAAGTAGGTGATGATGACTTTGCTTTTTACCCAATTAAATAATCACACTATATGTATACAGTAATAGAGAAAGAAACTTTTAGCATTGTAATTCAGGGCAGGGAAGCACATAAAGTTCAAAATTTAAAGTTCTAACACAGAAGACTAGGATCAAACACATGCTTGGATCAAACTGAATATTCGCTCCTTTGCAGATTTGCTTCTTGTTCAAAACGTAATGTGTAATGTTTCCATCATTTCCTCTGCCTAAATTCCATGTAATTCTGCTTGGGGGTGGAGGGTGGGGGAAAATGTGTAGCACCCCATCAACAGATCCAATTACCACTTTGGGAAACAATTTTCAGATTGGACCGTGGGGAAAAGAGTAACTTTTTCTCTCTAGCTTTGCCTTCTCCTCAAATTGCTGTTGCTGGGCACTCTGCCCCCAAATGGGAATGAAAAAAGGGGGAGGAGGAAAAATCTTTTAACTGTCAGAAATTGATTTTTTTTTTAATATTTGGAAAACCAAAGAGTATAGAATAGAATAGAATTTTTTATTGGCCA